GGGGGGGGGGGGACATTGTTTATAATGGGCTCTCGGTATTTGCCTTGGGATGAAAGGACACAACACGGGCTCGGGCCGTTCCTGCGGACCAATAGACGAGTTACCGTGTGAAGGAGTTGTTCCCGGTGGATCGATTTTATTGACGGGGGTGCGGGTGAAAAAAAAAGGGGGGGGTGAGGTGGAGGGGCGTGTAAGAGGCTAATGGACATTTTGTAGGTTTTTTTTTTTTTACACGGCGCTAAATTAATGTGAAGGGTTCCCAGCAGCGGCGTAGCTGGGGTTAGTGCCGCCCGGGGTGGGGTCAAGATTTTTCCCCACCCCTTTCCTAACACAAAATTTCTGCAGCAGTTGGCCTAAAAATGCCGCCCCTCAATTTATATAAAACAAAAATGTGCCCCTCGGGGTGGACAGTACCCTCCTCCCCACCCTTCCTACGCCAGTAGTTTCCGCGAGGGTCGACCTTATTAACAAGGGTTACTTTGATAAAAGTGAGGTAAATATATTATAAGTTAGACACCGGTACTTTAAAAATTAAATTTTGCCTTTAGTAGTAGACTTATCGGGTAACATTAAAATACCCATGCCATCTGTATATACTGGTTATTTCGTAAATGTGTAGCCTTAACCATAAGTACCTCTGTAACTATAACCCAACCGATACCCATATAACAGTAACTATAACCCTACAAATACCTCTCTAACCCTGGGGGCCGGGGGGGGGGCCCTTGCCCCCCCCCCCCCGGATTGATTGGATAAAAACTTTTTAGACAAAAATAGACAAAAAATGTATTAAAGTAAAGAGAAAATAAAGAGAAAGTAACTAAGCTGATGTCCTGTCCGTTCGTTCACCGTACAAATACGCTACAGTAAATTAAAACTACATTAAAACATTACTAAAAAAATTTTTGCCTACCCCTAGAAAGTTAATCGATTTTTGCCCCCCCCCCCCCTTAGAAAGTTTTCTGCGGGCGCCCATGTCTCTAACTATAACCCTACCAATACCTCTATAAAGTCTAAAACAATAACCCTATCAATACTTCTATAACCATAACCCTACCAATACCTCTATAACCATAACCCTACCAATACTTCTATAACTATAACTCCAAAATATATGCACTTGTAGAAAATTGCAAGTTTTGTAAACGCTGTCCTATTATTGTATACCTCAAGCAAGTATCAGATGAGCAATTTAAAACCGGTAACTCCATCATTTAAAACTTAACTCTTACACTTACACCAACGAAGGGTGTAGAGGTCCGCACTGTTTTTCTGTACCGTGAAATGGGGTGACTTTGCCTCAAGGGGTGACTTTGCCTATTAAATACTTATATTGAGAAAGTTGTTTTTCATGATTTTCTAGAGTTATTTCCCCGAATTTTTTTACTTCCTATGAAAGCAGACATGTTGCTTTATCTTGTTTCGCTTTCCTTAACTTACCATGCCAAACCATAAGATTTGACTGTTTGAGCTCTTAGACTCAGGACATCGATATTTTGCTGATTTAGGTGAGTTTAAACTTTCATTTTAAGGTATTATAATTTATTTCCCTATGCATTTAATGTGTATAAATTTCAGTGATAAAAAGGTTCATTACTTTGTTAGTTAAATTTAAGTTTAATAAATCGTTATTGCTTTTCTTTCACAGCAAGGGGCAAAGTCACCCCACGGACTGATACAATGATTTTTGTATTGATTTCTCTATTTGTTCTTGTTTTTCCAGATCATAATGCCATGACTTAACAAGATTACTCCTATTAACAGAAGCTATAGAGGCTATATTAAAACACTTTGCTTAATGATAAGTGTGAATTGTAAAAGATAATCTACTGCCAGGCCTATAGAAGTCATCTATAAGTGAAAGACACCATTGATTTAATAACTCTTTGAACTTAATAAATGTTACTGTAGCCACAAGAAAACAACTTGAGGGCAAGCTCTTTGCCAGATGAATTAAAGTCAACTTAATAAGATTTTGGAATGCCTCAACTAGAAACAATTTACATTTTGGCCTAACTTTTTTTATTATGGACCAATCTTGATGACGGCGAACTTGCGGTGAAACTATTCCACGATAACAATCTTCGAGATGACTTGGTGAATGGATTTTGTACAACGAGATGAGGATGTTATGTGCCATAGATATAAGCTGAGATAATAGGAAATATATTATAATACAGTTACAGTCTACTGTGACAAATTCACAAATTAAAGCTTTCATTACATGGAGTAAATGCGAAAACCTGTTATGAAGGTTTGCCTCGAAAGGATAGATCACTGAGAATCATTTTTTATGTGAACTGGTGTTGATATTTTCTTCCAACCTTTCATTATAATAAAATATTATGATTAAACATTAAATACAGAAAAGAAAAGAACTTATTTGCTTGCTTTTATAATTTCTACATGCATTGTGCTGTCTTTCACCTTAAAAGGGCAAAGTCACCCCATTTTTCCTTAGAGTGAAAAAACTCAAAAAACCTTAATTATCAACTTAACCTGATCAAACTATGAATTAATTTAGCTATAACAACAAAGTGCAGGTACCCACTCTGTACATTAGCCCCTTTGTGTTAGTTTTTAGATCAGTTAACATGTTGAAATTTATGTTTAAAGGCAAAGTCACCCCGTTTCACGGTACATGTTTTGATTTTGAGCACTAACCCTTACTACACAACTGGATCATAATGTTAGTACCAGAAGCAACTTCTATTAGTACTACTATTACTATTATTTTATTTACGCGACATGTCGTTGCCATACAAAAAGTCCCCCAGTTGGACATTCAGTTTAAGTACTGCGCCTAAATTCAAAGGGAAACAACCACGGTAAATGGTATGAAATTTAAGGTCGTTATTAAGGACAACATTCTTCAAAATCATTTCCGAATTTCTGTTACGTCTTCAAATGTGTCATTAGGGAAATAAATATCCAACTTGACCACCGCTTAGGACTTAATTGCAGAACTATATAATCAAAGGGCTTGTATATAAAATGTCATTTAATTCATCAGAATTAGAAAGTACCCGGTACCGGGTAACTATTTTTAAATACCGGTACCGTAATATTTCCACCAACGGCGCCTAATTGCATGCAGATTATTTCGTTTCCCATCTAATTGGCATATCCAATTTATACCTACCTTAAAACTAGACGAGTAGAACTAGAATGACGTACCATTACAGTTATAGTGTTATTCACACGGTTTCATTTGAACATAAAAGCCACGCAATTTTCTGTACCAAACCATGAGAAATGAGAGATTGCAAACCAAATTTAGAGACTGTTGTACCAAAACACGCTGGAATACGCGTCACCAGGTACAGAAATAACCGGTATATCGAAGTGCAATTTTCACCCAGCTACATACCTGTACCCGGTAAAGTTATTGCAAACTAGTATTCATGAATTACCGTATTAAAATTCTTTTCAGAGTATGAGTAACGTTCTGTAAACATGGAACGTGCCCTTTGAACCTTGTTTCCAATGGGGGGGAAAAAAAAGTACTGAACCATTGTCATATGGTACTAAAAAGCCATGTGAGGAATATTTAAATTGAGCCCCAGTAATCTTAAGGGGAATAATCCAGTCACCGATACCCCTCTTTCCAGTTAAGGTATAGTATAATCTTCTAAACATTCCATGATTCATATGATCTGAAATGATACGGTACTAATACAACTAATATTACTACTTTACATTTACATCTTTGATTCTCTTTACTTTTAAATTGATATATAAATGATGTTTATGATTATGGGTACTGACAATTAGATGATTGGTGAATTTTTAAAAATAGGAAATTTTTGTAATTTTTTGCCTCCCTTGGTAAATTTTGAAAATTTTACAAAATTGTCATCTTTATTAAGACAGTAAAATAAATTAACAAAAGTTTGATTTCCAATACTCTTGTGAAAAAAATTGTGTTTGTTTTCTGTAGAGTATTGTGTAAATATTGTAAATGATATGATATGAGTATGAGTGCAGGTGACATACATTTAAAAATGACTCATGAATATGGGGTAACGCCAGAAATTTTTAAAAAAAATAGCATAACTTTCTTAATAATGGTCATAAATTTAATGTCCACATTCTTAGACTTAGATCTTGCATCTTAAACACTCAAAAAATATTATAGTTTGGAAAATTGGTTTGGAGTACCGGTACCTACTACTACGATTGCTACAAAACCAGACTTGTACCAGCATAGCACATATCAAAATTAATATATAGTACAACTTACAGTAGTAGTACATTATGGTATATCCCTTCCCTCTATTGTAATACTGTTACTTTATTGAATAAAGAACAAACAGCCTTCACTCTTATTCATAAAGAAACAGCTAACTTATATTTATAAAACATACAGGTCAATCTCATTGTTTTTTTGACATGCATAGCTATGTTAATTTATTGTTAATGTGATGGGAGGATGAAGGTGTATAACTATTTGGAACTAACATTTTAAAAAAAGGGGTGGGGGCATCCTTAAATGACATGACAGTCCATGAGAGGGGGTTAAGCAATGTCATGTGACAAAGCTTAAAATATATTCATTATGAAATTTTCATTTAGAATGCCTACTTAAAACCAGAACATTTAAATTTAAAAATGACATTACACAAATTTTTTTGTTCTTCAATTATAATAACTAGGATTACTAAAAGATCAAGGAGAGACATGCCATGTCCCAAAATGGCAACTGATCAAGTTACAGGCTGCAACCCACAGAGGAGAATCAGCATGTAGTGACATTGTCATTCATGAGAATTTTCAAAATGTGGAGTCATATTTAGAATTAGGGCTTCTACATCAACTGGGATGACATTTCTTATGACTCTATCAATAACAGCAATGTCTTGTATGATTTCCTCTGGGTTTTCAGTACCCCAGGGGTTGATCTGTGTTAGTAGTTTTAGGGAAATGTTTTGCATGAAGTCACTGATGGATGGCTCCAAATAAAAAAAATTTTTTTTTAAATGAAACGGTATCTGTACATAAAACAGAACACACAAAAATTGAAAAACAATAAAATAGAGTACATGGGCAACCAATTTATTAAATTTATTTAGTGGCAACAGCAGAGGAAGCTGGGGCAGCAACCTTATTACGGGGTTTGGGGACTGTACCCTCTCGGAAACCATTTCTGCAAAATAAAAATGAGAATAATATTGATTTGAAAAATAGATGAAACAATAACAGTCATAATGACCCCTGAGTTACAAAAGATGTAAATGGTAGGAGAAAATAGTTCATGCTATCCTCACAGGGGTGCAAGAAGGAGACTTGGCAAAGTGTGTACATACATGTATATACAAATTATCATTCACCCTAAAATCAGATTAGTTCATCATTATTCAACAGCCTATTTAATCAATCTAATATGGCAAAAAAAGGAACTGCAATATATTGTAATTATCATCACATATGGTCTGATGTAGTGACTTCAGACCACTGTATGGTACTGTATATCTGAGACCGGGTATATGAACCGTTAATTCATTTGCATTATAGTCAAAAAGCCACATTTGACATTGTAGGCTGGCCCACATAAGCATTGTCAGAAAAAAAGAGGAAGAAAACCAGTTGACATAAAGTTTTCAACAAAGTTGACAGGGACTACTTCACAGCTTTTAAATCATAATAACCTATAGATGATTAATGTTTAAGAGGTATGAAATGAAGAGCTCCTTTGAAAGTATGCACAGTGGGTCCATTGGTCAATGAGAACACTTCTAACTCCTTAGATTACATAATTACAAAATTCATGATTTGCCAAAATTAATTTCAAACCATGTATGTATCAATATAGAGTATCTTAGTGCTCAACTTCAAGGTTACTGGAATTAAATAACCTTGACAATATGTGGGTTAAAACTAAGCCACCAGAGAGTTAATATATTGCTTTTTCTTTCTTTAGGTAAACCTGTTTAAGTTTTGACAAGGCGTCTCCAACTTTTCCATAAGACCAGACTGCTTTTATGTGATCTGCACTAATGCAAACTACTGAATAGATATTAAGCAGAATACTTGATACAGAATAATCTAATAACAGATCAATTCTGAAAATACCTGAATCTCCTGAAAACAACTTTAAGATGCCTCATTCTTCCAGTACCAGTTGTCTTCCTCCTCTGAGCCTTCTTAGACCAATTGTCTGAAATAAAGAAAAGTAGCAAAACAATGAGCCGACTTAAAATTATTTTGATCATAGTTAAATAAAGTTCTAACATAGCTGAAACAATAAATTTGCTTTTCCAATAAATTAGATAATAGGAGGTCGTTATGTTTTTCTGTTAGTACCAATGAAAATATGTAATCATTTAACTACTGTTGAAACTTATGAACTCATTTCCTCCTGCAATGCTACTTCCATATTTAATTTATTTGCCTGAGAAAGGGAAGTAACTTGTCTTGCAATTGATTTACATTTTAAAATATTTATTTAAGCTGCTAAATATTATTTAATGTTAACGAATTAAGAACAAATGCAACAAAGAATGAATAAGGTTTAATATAATATAACATTAGTGGGGAAAAAATAACGAACAATGGCCAAAAAATTGATTTTCGGCACCTCGGACGAACACATGCTACATAAAGACGTGCCGTACTAAAGCATATGTAGTTTTAAAGTGAAACAAGATAAAAACTTCCGGTTTTTAAATTAAAATCACGCTGAACCACGCCATCACCGGAAGGCTCGAGGGATGCGAGATTTCATTGCTATTTTTAAATAGATATGAGAGGTGTGTCGCTATGCGCAGGGACGTATCCGACGAAACCCGTAAAGGACGCATTTAGTCGCAAACGTCGGGAATGAGTTAACATTTGAGGATACCCTAATGTATGCAAAGACATCACATTAACCATAAAGCTTTATATTTGCCATGAATTTTCTCATACTTGGAAAATTTAAAAAATAGAGAATTGATTGTCGTTTACAATGAAACTTTTGACTTGTATTAAATTCACTGTATGTTAAATCATTCAATGTAACCACATTCTACATAAGAGAACTCTTTTAAAAATAAACTGTATACTTGTGGGAACCCAAAAAGGAATTGAATTGTATTCAGTAATGTTTGCTTCACATGTAAGTTATCCATGCAATGGTAATTCTATAAGTTTAAAAAAATAAGGGGTGTTTCTTCCTGGAAAAACTATTTTGTAGCTACCTGTCCTAAGCCCAAGTTCATTTTTAAACACTATCGGTAACATTTTTTTCCAGAAGTGGCTATTCGTACCTTGGTACCTGAAGTGAGAGTTGGGATTAAAAAACTATTTAAAATTTTATTGTTGGGTTTGTAAGACAAAATGATGTATCAAATGAAAGATAGTTAAATGGAATATATGTTTGTAAACATAATTCTTAGTTTAAAATAAAACTACCACAAATGACATCCGAATAGCACTGAGTAAAGATGGCCACTGACACGCAGTGCTGCCATTCGCACCCGGGTACCATTAGACTCAAGCTATTTGAATGTCATTTGTGGTACCGGTAGTTTATTTTAGTTAAACTGAAGAAGTAAGTTAACAAACATATTCCATTCAATTATCTTTCATTCGATACCTCAATTTGTCTTACAAACCCAACAATAATATTTTGAATAGTTTTTAATCCCAAAATCTCCCTTCTAGTACCCGGGTACGAAGAGTCGCAGCCTTTTTTTTCTTTGGGTGTCGCGACTATAAAAATCGGAAAAATATTATTCATCCAAAGCTAAGTTCACACTATAAAATCACTACTAAATATTACTGGGACAAATAGCGAGGCATTTGTTTGGAGGTAAGTTACTTAGACCAATGGGGACATGTCATTTTCAAATACTTTATTATTGGCTGGCAATAAACAAATATTTTTCAGCGCCAATCAGCTAACAGGGTTTGTTTAGAATTTAACTGTAGATCTTTCAGCAGGGGGCCTATTTTATAGACATAACCACCCATAAATTACATACAACAATGCTTTACAGATACAGTACATTTAAAGAACTTTTATGTTACCAAAACAATATCAAGTAAAAGAAATTAAATTTTAAAAAGCTGCACTTATTCATTGAAAGACATGCATGCTGTGTTGCAGGTAACAGCTGAATACTGCACTAGCAAAGGAAGAAGTAGAATTTGTTGACTCTACAGTGAGACTGTGTTAACATGGGATGTGTATCAGGCATATATATGTTTCTATAGCTAGCAACAAGAAATAAAACTAGGGACTTTTATAACCCATACACCATACTTATTATGGCTGTAGGCCTAAAAAAACAGAAGTGTTATTTATAACAAAAAGGCACACTACAATTACTACATAGCTGTCATTAATGTAAGTAAAAGGCTACAGGTGATAAATATCTAACAGACTGAAAGAAGGCAAAACTGGCTGAAGTGGGTTAGCAGTAAGGCCAGCGATGTGTTCCACAGTATATAAGGTCTACTTTACTTTAGTCTTTAGATTCAAAAGATTTAGATTTTTATATACACAGCAAATCGCCTATCTCAACGGTGCTGGATAATCCAAGGGAACATCATGTGGATGATATAGCTTGGCACTAGTGCCAATGTCGGAATGTTTCATTGTGTCCATGTTATCGGCCCAGGGGACTCCATCTTTGGGTTTCAATTCAGAGTTTTCTTCTCTTAGATGAGTTGCCGTCCAAGGTTAACTTCCCATCCACCCGGTGTGCTGGAGGCTGGACTGGAGGTGATTTTGCTAGAATGGGCATTTGTGGGGAAAGAACTCAAGACCATGAACCTGAGTTTGGCCCAATTTAGACACCGATTTAGTGTATGACATGAGTAATGCTAAGAAAAGAATAGGAAAGTTACACACACTGTTCAGGACTAGCAAGTGGTCAAGTGTTGGGATTCCCCAAAATGACATCACTGCACTTGGAAAATCCCTTAAGTTACTGTTAACTAAAAATTAAACAAGCAAAATCAAACAAGTAACTGTCAGCAGGCCAAATTATGATTTAAATCAACTAGGCTTTAATAAAGTAAATAAACTTACAATGCCTTAGACGAGGGCTTGGGTAGGCACACCTAGAACATGTTTTCTTCTGAATGTGGAAAGCCCTGTGCCCACACCTGCGGCAAAAGGTGTGGGTTTTGTTGTGCCGCTTACCAAAACTGGATGTACCCTTGGTCTGGAGAGAAATAATTGTAGCAAAAATTAATCTAAGCTGTTAATTAGTAAAATTACAGGTAACAGAACAGGTCAATGGTTGTTTTAAATAATGAGATCTTTTCTTAGGAAAAAACTTAAACTTCCCCTGCTGTAAGTAATATGATCTTAACTTTGACATAAGATGAAGGTAACAAAAAATAATATTTAATATTTAGGCTTTTTTGGCCTAGGCCAATGCCACAATGCACAGCTAGCTTGATACGTGGACACTTTATCGCCTGGCAGGGTTTATATTATAATCTTGACTGTAAACATGCAGAGAAGTAGTCAGCAAGTATAAATTTCAGGGTGCCTAGTAAAATAGCACAAGAAGGCCAAGGCAACTGCACTTCTGGTTGATGTTTGTCTATTAATTTTGTTCACTCGGTCTAGTGATTTGTAGTGAAAAGTCTAGGAAAAACTTAAGACGAATGATGTCCAAGTATTTTTCCGAAAATACTCTTAAATTTAAGTAATCACTTATGCGACAATTTAAGGCTAACTGTATAAGATTACAATAATTCTGTAATTGTAATTAAAAGAACGGAGTTATCGATAATACAGTAAGCAACATGAAATTGAAAAATTAAATATAGATATATTGCGTTCTTGCTTTTACTTTTTAAATACGGTTAGTATTGAATGATTGACAAAATTTTAAAAACTAATAATACTAATTTCGAATAAAAATTAAAAGATGATGATGGATAGAACTAATATTTTAACATGTAAGATACGTACCATTTTGACGGACCGGAAGTACCAAAAGAAAGACAGTATTTCAGATGAACCGGAATTAAAACATTGCAGTCACGTGACAACCTGAAAAACTGTAAATTTCGGATAGTTTACTATAGTTACCATCGTGTAGGTTACCGTTGGCTTCTAAACTTGTAGACTGTTATCAGGAAAGTCATTTAGGTATTGCATTTGCCACCCCCCCCCTGATTTTGCATGCTTTATTTATATTGCTTTGTACTGTGGCGCCTCCAGTAATAAACAACAAGCCCACCAAGTTTTGGATTTTTACCCACTCCCCTGAAAAATGACCTGAAATGACGCTCCTGACTGTTTTTTTTTTTTTTTTTTTTTTTTTTTTATCTCGACGAATGTTGCCGAGAATGAGAATGTGTTGCTCAAAACTAATGTGATTATTGAGTCAATCAATTTATTGACAGAAAAAAAACAGAATTTGAATTTGAACAATAACAAAAACCTCTGACCCACTGAACTGCAAATAATTTAAATAATCATAATCAATAATAATTACGTCTACGTTGTTACAACGGTTGTAATTATAACTGTATAATTACAATGATGGTAATCATCGCAAGTCTAAGTCAAAGCTGACTTAAAATGAATGTGATGCTCCTTCTTCAGCAGACATGTTATGCATGTTGTTTCTTGTTTTGTATTGTCTGTTGAAGAAGATCTCCAGCCGAAACATTCTTTTAATTGTCCTTTCTTATTCTTTTTATTTCAAAATCCTAATCAGTTATTAAAACAATTGACTACTGATAATCATATAATGCATAATTTAATGCATAGTTAGATAATAGATAAGTTACAATTTATTTGCAACTCAATTATTAATTGCATTGTTGTGTTATAATTTGTTTTAAAATTTGAACTTTTAATAAACAGAAAATAAAAGTTGTATAAAATTGCCATTTAATATTTAAACAATAGTTATTGCGGGTTGCGCGATCAGCTGAATGGGACCACAGCTGACGATGCTAATACTAATATGAAATTATTTTTATTTTATTTTACATACCTCTACGAGCACAATAGGAAAGAAGTGACAAAATAATCGGTAGGTTTTAAATGCCTCGTAAATTGAAATATAGTTTTTAAAAATTAGAAGGCCTAATTACTAATTGTAAATGAAATAATTTAACGATGGAACAAGATTAAGACTGAAAGATATGTTTTAGTAACTGCGATATGGCATGAATTTTCTGTTTACCAAACCTGGCGTACATTATATATATATATATACAGGGGTGGACTGGGGAATTCAAGCGGCCTGGGAAAAAAATCAAAGTGGCCCGGGGAAAAAAAACAAAAAGTGGCCCTATCTTCATGACTTTTATTTTTATTATATCACCGGTCCTAGTGGCCCATCGGGAATCTTCCCGGTGTCCCGACGGCCCAGTCCACCCCTGTATATATATATATTAATTTGCACATGGCAATTTCTTATGAATGAAACTATGAGAATAGTACTAGTATAGTATTATAGCACATCCAGCGGCGTAGCGGGGGTGTTTGGCGCCCGGGGACAAGATTCGCGCCCGGGGACAAGATCCATTTTAAAGCGCCCCCTTTTTTCTTTTTTTCAACTCTTAAACCCATTATTTTCATCAATAAAATAATATAAAAGCACATTTTGGCGCCCCTAACTACCTCGCGCCCGGGGACATCTGCCCCCCCCTGCACCCCCCTCGCTACGCCTCTGAGCACATCCAAGTGACTGTGAAAGGTTGCCCATGCCATGACTATGTTTTGCACACTGCAAATTATTATCATTTATAATATGAACTCGACCAGGTTTTTAAACCTCAAATTACAATATTCTTGTTTAAATGGCTTCTAAGTTCACTCTTAAAACATAGCTATCCAAATATTTATTTTTATGGAAATAGTGGTAATAATTTAATATTTCTTAGCATCAGCATTTTCCGCCATTAAAAAAAGGTGGTGTGAAAATCAATATATTCCAGCGATACATAATAAATATGAAAAGGGCATATATACTATTTTGTCTTAATCTTAATGATGAAAGCTGCCTTACGTTCCCCAAGGATTTTCTCAAAGTTGACTGACTGTAAATGAAAAAAGAAATCGTTATATTGTTTTTGCAACTGTAATAGTAATCTGTTTGAAGATTTGCTTTGTTAGATGAGCAATACATAGGCCTATATCAAAGCGTATACTGAATATTGGTGACTAAAGCCAAAGCTAATGAAATTTAAAAATATTCAATTTAATTATACCATAAAAATTATGTAAAAAATACAATCAAAAATCAAATTACCGTATATACTCGCATATTAGCCCACATCGCATATAAGCCGCCCCCCTAAAACTGCTTTAAAATGGCCAGTTTTTGCAAAAACCCGCGAATGAGCCGACCATAAAATTGTCTAATTTTACTCCATTTTTTTGGTTCATAGAAATGTGTTACTGTAAGATGTAAAATGCTTACTTTTATGTTACATACCAGTTTGCTTACCTTTTGGAATGACGCAAAAACGTGTTCTGCTCTTTCCACATTGTTTGCTATAATAATAACTGTGTGTGTGTGTATATATATATATATATATATATATATATATTTTTTCTCTTTATATTTTGTTTTATATATAAATATGTGTGTGTGTGTATATATATATATATATATATATATATATATATATATATATATATATATATATATATATATTAGTACTCTGTAGACACAACCAAATAAAGAGTCAGATAGCAATGAAAATGTGTGGCTGGAAAATTGACATTAGTGTCTGTCCTTGTGTCCATTTTGTTTTCTGAGCATATAAGCTGACCCCCTGATTTGAGTATTGTATTTTATAGTTATAATTTTCGGCTTATATGCGAGTATATACGGTATACAGAATTCAACAACTATATTAACTTGGAGCCCTAAAACTGAAAAAGTATAGCCCTCGAAAGGTACAATAATTAATATATCACAGATTTTTTTTTTTTAATTAAAATCTGGCATGTCTCATAAATATGTCTTTGTGTCTAGGAAATCTACCAAATGTCTCTCCTCTTCTAGCTGGGAAAGCTGCCGGCTTATTTATTGTAATTTATAAGGAGCAAGTGGGAACCCTCTAGAAAAGAATTGTAGACATTGCATCACCTGATGGAACTCTTTAGAACAAATAAGAACATAAACCTTTTCCCAAAAATGGAAGGGGTGGGGAATGGTACAGCGCTAAATATTTAATTGGCCACATCAAAATCAAAATAAAAGAAAGGGGAGAGAAGTAGTGAACGCAACAGCTCTATGTTGAGGCAAAATTAGCTCGACACACTGGCTATAACAGGGAGACACACACAGCTCAATCCACAGACTGTCACTGTGTTGTGTATGTGTAATCATATGTGTCCACGTACGTGTTGAAAATATTAATGGATACCTGGGTATAATTTTGAAAAATGTTGACTTCCTTAGCTGCCAATTAATTAATAACTTTTAATTTTGAGATTGTTCTTAAAGGACATCCACAAAGATCTCAAAGACAAGGAGAGAAAAAATTTGTTCTAGTGTGGATGAAGGGGGTGTTAAGGATCTTAGCAAGTTTTTGTTATGTGTTGTTTTAGGCTCACTGCGGGGCCTGGTTTTTCTTATTTAAACATTAAGCTAACATATTTAAAGAATACAATAAGCAATTTCTTAAGTGGTTTCACCATGCTAATCTTGGCGATACTCGGTACACACACCACCAGTCCACAAAATTGGTCATAACGCAGTGGTTGTCTATCCATAATTGTATTGCTCACTATATCATCTACCCGTACAATAACAAGTCCAAGACAGTGGGTGCTTGACGCTGTCTTTGAGACCTTCTGGATATGTTATAGACTGAGTGTCGTGGATGTTGAGGGTTGAGCTTCTTCTCAAGTGGACTTGGAGTTGCGATGTGTAGACGGTTGATGACTGAGTGCTGTCTGGGTCGTTGATATATAAACCCGGTTCCGAATCCTCTTCAGCTTGATATCTGGGGCGAAGTTGATCCAAATGCCTCTTCCATATAAGGACATTCGGGTAAAGCTTTACACTTAAAAAAGCGTGGACCCAAAACTCGGATGATTTTCCCGGGAGCCCATCGGGGCTTAGAGTCTGTTGTTGTTGTTCCATATAGTCTTACATAACACGGATCTCCCTGTTGAAATGATTCACTAGGGCATCTCTTTGGCATATTTTTAAAGATGTTGTCGCTGTGCTCGATGAAATCAGAGAAGAGTTCGTTTTTGCTGATTATTCAGCAGCTGGCTAGGTAATAATCAACAATCCACTAGCCAATAGTGTCCTACAAGACTGATGTAGAAAGTCTTGTACATATTCTTAGGAAGTGAGGATTTCCTACGCGAGCTCTTAAAGCTTTGGATCAGGTTTTTTTTTTGTTTTTTTTTTGGCAGCTCCGTTGGTAGCGAGATAATAAGGAGAACCCGCGAGATGCACCCAGTGGTTATTTCAGAAATCCACAACCCCCCCCCCCCGGGGGGGGGGGCACTCCAACTTTTT